CGGTGGATTCCCGTTTCCATGGAATCGCGGCCTGCTCTCGCCCTCCGTTCGCGAGACGAAAATGCGTCGGAAAGAGCGCGCCTCCGTCCCGCCGGTGGCGTCGGAACGGCGCGAGAAGATCGGCATCGGGAAGACGGTGTGAACGACGGAAGAAAACGGAAAGGAAGATCGACGGAGCTCACGGGGACGAAAGCGATCGCTCGGCGATCCCTCGACCCCGTCCGAACGCATCCCTTTTGCTCGAATTCCGATGGAAATGGGCCGACCGCAAGCCTACACGTTTCGTCCTGGACTCGCTCGAGCGGAAGCGAATGGAAAGTCTGTCCGACGCGTGAGAGGGCGGAGGGGGGGGGGGGGTCGCCACCGCAACGGAGATTCATTAGACCTCTCGAACCGTGTAAAGCGACCCGGTGGAACAGGTGTAGTCTCGCGGGGAAGGAGCGTCACGTCACGTAGGATTCGCGTCTATTAAGGCTGGATCTCCTCGGGTCCTCGCGTCGTGTCGGGGCTTCCGGAGTTCCGCCCCCCCTCCCTCCATTTTACTTCTGCCTTCGCGCGTTCCACAAATCTCGTTCGTGTCGACCACGACTCGCCGTGAACCCCACCCGTCTTCGTCTCTCCGAGGTTTTACTTACCGTTTCGAGACTCTCCGAGACGAAACGGTAAAAAAAATCTCGTTCGTATGGCAAGCAGGTGTGATACTTCACGATGATATGCATATAAGTCCTCTGTCTCGTGCATGTAAATCAGGAGATCGCGAGAAGGAAAAGGAAGGAATGATTCATGAAGGCTTTTAGGTAGTCGAAACCCTCGGGGACTCGTCCTCGACGAAGATGAAAGCGAAATTCGCACTCGACTCCACTCGGGAACGATTCCGTCCGGATCTCGGGGGGCGGAGGCGTCGCAGCATCCTTTCGAGCGTCGATGGGGAACGGAGTGAAGTCGAGCGGAGAACGTAATGGACCGTCGGGGGAGGACTCGGACGTTCGATGACAGATGGACCATTCTTCGTGCGACCCGTCCATCCTCTCTCCTGTCGTCCGCGTCTGCTGCATTCTCTCTTCGATCGTATCGTGGACGTACGTGTCGAAATCGTGCCGGTGAAAGGATGATCCACTGCTCGACGGCGTCTCCCTCCGATACGGGATGCGTCTCGTCCTCGAGTCACGACGCATGTAGCCGGGGAAGATCGACCTTCCCGTTTCCTCGCTCGCATGTCTCTCGGTCAAGGGTGGAGCCCGATTCGTTCGGGAAGGAGGAAAACCGCGATGGCCTCGTCTCCGTCCGGGAAACGAACGAGCGATGCGAGACGATGACGAAGTCGACGACTCCGAGCCTTTGAGCGCATTCCGCCCGTCGAATTCCGCTCTCGAACCGATGCAAATGCGATGGAATCGATGCGACGGACGATGGCCGAAGGCGGACGATGCGTCTCGAGGATGGAGCCGGGGACTCGTCGGGGTGTAATTTTCGTTAATGAGTTCACCCGTCGGTCGTCGAGCATAAATCCCGGGGCTCTCGTCCCTCTTCATTACGTGTCGCCGGGGCTAAAAATTCTCTCATCTCCCTCCTTTCCTCTCTTTTTTTTCCCCTCTTCCCATTTCCCCCTCTCCATCGAAACCAGACTGCACGGAGAGATGCTCTACGCTGCTTGAGAAAACTTTCCACAATGAATATTTAATGTAGCCCTCGGGGGTGGAAACTCCGGATATTGGCACCACTACGTCGGATTCTTCCCTTCCATAATTCATTCTCCCCTTCGCTTCCCTTTCACGTGCGCGATTCCGTATGCGAGAGACGTTTGAGCGAAACAGAATCGAGGAATTCGTCAGACGTGTTGACAAGAGCCTCGGAAGGGGAAGCGAAGCTGGAGGGCAGCTGCGTGCAGGCTGCTCGCAAAGATTTTTATTCCTTCCGGAAACGTCGTCTCTCGTTTCGGTTTCACCCCACGAGTCCGACGCGACCTCCTCTCCTCCTTCGCCGTGGCATGAGACATCGACCGTTCCGGCAGGCAACGAAGATCCTCGTTCTGGAGTCTGGAGGTCATGGGAATTTCCATTCCACCTAATGCGTTTGGGCTCCATCCCGGCCGGCCTCTCTGTAATCGGATATTCTCTCGGACGAAGAGGAATGGAGGGAAAAAAAAAGGAGGGAAAAAGCCCGTAAGAAGTTGAGGGTTAATGGATTTCAGATGCGAACGGACCGGGCTCTCCGAGTGGGTCTGACTTTCTCGCGAAAAGGTCATGCCGAGAATCAACACACTCATCATGTGGTAGGCCCGAGGGGCTCTTTTTATCTCGGCTCTCTGTCGATGTCGTTTGCACACGGGCTCCATCGCAATCGCCTTCCGGTACTTTTCTCACCTGCAGAGATATTCAAGCGGGATCGAAGAATCGGAAAGCGTGATCCATTCACAAATGAAAGTAGTTCAAGTGAGATTGTAAAAAAAAAAACTTTCTCCTCCACTTTTATGATGTTTCCTCTCGGCTGGGATAAGGGATCACTTCCAGTGNGATTTCGACACGTACGTCCACGATACGATCGAAGAGAGAATGCAGCAGACGCGGACGACAGGAGAGAGGATGGACGGGTCGCACGAAGAATGGTCCATCTGTCATCGAACGTCCGAGTCCTCCCCCGACGGTCCATTACGTTCTCCGCTCGACTTCACTCCGTTCCCCATCGACGCTCGAAAGGATGCTGCGACGCCTCCGCCCCCCGCCATCATCGAGATGTATACCGTACTGTTCGCTACATGATTGAGGGAAATGGTAACTTTGAAATGTTTCTTCTTTTCCTACCTTCACTCTTCCGTCAGCTGAAGAGGTAAAAAGAGACAGGAATCGCTGTTGCCGGAACCGGAACGGTCACCGAAACGGGATCACCAAAAATCGGGAGGAAAGATCTTGTTTTGTTTCTCCCCTATTTCACGCTCATCACGGATGTATCACATTCGCCTCATTTCCAAAACTGCTCGGAGAGCTTAATCCGGAGGCTCGAGGTGACTCGACTCTGCGATGGGCGATGGAGGATGTGATTCGCACGCATTCGGGGAAACGAGGGTCTCCATTTAAGGGTCTCCATTTTGGAAACGTTATCGAGCGTGAAATTCGTCGTGGCCTCCGTCGACGGCTTTCGCAATCTCGGCTCGCTTTGCAGAACGTACGATCTGAACTCGAAGAGCACGTGACTTTTCGACTTCACGTGTGGAATGCGATACGGTCGGATCCATGAAAGATGATTCCGCTCGTCTGGATTTGGGCCGTCCGATACCACGTGTTTCGGCCGTATCGACTTTCGCTTCCCGAATCGGTGGGACCTTCACCCGCCGACTACTGAAAGCGATTCGGTTCCAAGTTTTTCTCGGATATCGATGAAAAAGAAACCGCTCTTTATTTCTTTATATGGATGATAGACTCACCGGTGCTTTTCGTGGTGACGATGATGCCATTTAGCTAGTGGTGTACGCAAGATTTGGAAGGAGGCTCATCATTACGGTAGCTGAGTGACGAGCGTGGGTTGGGGGGTGGGGGAGAGGGTGCTGGGTGAAGAAAAGGGCCAAGAGGGAAGGTGGGGCTTCATGAGAATTTCGGTGTCAAAACAATGGCGCTTGTCTATTCGCCCACCCCCAAACAACGGTCCGGGGGGTTCCCGAAGGCCAAGGGGGGGCTCGAGCCCCCTGCGTATGCCACTGCACCTAACACGTGTGCCTCTCCATCCACACGAGACTTTCCTTATCAATCATTCACCCGCTATCGAAATGGATGTCTTAAATGTTCCGTTTCTCTAACGTCCATCTATTTAGATCGGAGCGAAAGGGATGTTCTTTCTCTCTACTTGCCAGCTTCCTTTCACGGGAAAAGCGAGGTTCCTCTTTCGGTAGCCCAGATGCGGGCGATCGTGCGACGCTTCCGTCTGTGTTAGCGGGAATACGACCGCTTCGAACTTCGCACTTTTTTGGCACAACTTATTAAAGTGATGAACTCTACTTCTACGTAGTTTCGAGAAACTTCGATCACCGGTCAATTCGTAGCAAGATGGATTTTGAATGGATGAACTTCGGAAAACGGACGAACCTCCAAAATTGAGTCAGTTTCATCTATGATGACGGGAAGCGCACCGGAGGCTTGTTACACGACTAAAATTCATTCGGCTTGTTTTAAAATACCAGACAGATCGTTTTTCTCGCGATTTTTTTTCCGATGCTGCAGAAGACATTCGCTTCCAGGGTTCCGTCGTCAGATAGAGAAGGCAGATTGCTAAGTTATTACTCTTTCCTGTGGTCTCTTATCGCGGACGGTGTGCCCTCTTCGCTTCTCCAAGGGGGAAAAAAATTTAATTTTACTGAGAGCAGGTCAGCTTCACACTCTCGCACAGAAGTCTCTACGATCATACAGTGTATTAGGGCGAAGCGTTCCGGGGCTTATTTCCCGATCTCTACGACCCATAATCACGGAGGAAGACCGGAAAAAAGCACTAAAAGCATTTGTGTCCAGGACCGTATTATTTTCCCCCGTTCCGGAGGGAGGCCGGAAGCCCTCTTGGTCCAGCGGGTGCACCTGTTCAACAGGCGATGGCTCTTTATTTCTCCATCTACTTCCCCTCCCTTTTTCTCCTTCCCCAAGCTCGTTCATTTCGAGCAGAAAGTTTATACGACTGTCAGCTGGGACACGCCACGTAGGAAAAAACGTTCTCTTTTTTTTTCTTTTTATTTTTTTACCCCTACTCTACGAGACTCCGACTCGACATCTGCGTCCATTTGCTGCTTACACGTGCTCTCTTTTGTTGTTCACTCGTATGGGGACGATGATCATAAACTCCCTCCCTCCCAATGTTTATTTCCACTCCGGTTTTCTTTCTGTCTCTGACGCGAGCCTTGTCTACGCTCTCCCCCTCTGATTTCCCCACCTTCCCACAATGTGGCTTGTTGTACGAGGGTAAAGCCCGCTAATGGGTCGTGTCCTCTCTCCCCCTGACTCTTTGCTATATTCGTCTTTCAGACGCAGTGATGCGGTTACGGGTCGGGGTGATCGTCGCCGTCGCCGTCGCCATCGCCATCCGGGGATGCGGGGCCGAAAGGAACGTGGCCACCGAGTCGCACGGATGTCCGAGTTGGGAAGCGAATCCCTGGTGTTCGTGTTACGATCACGACGGAGGTCTATACTTGGAATGTCCCGGCATCGAGCTGAGCATCTTGGCGACCGTCTTGGGGCTCGTATCTCAGCCGGTGATGGATCTCCGGCTTTACGAACTGGATCACGGCATCGCGACTCTACCCGAGAACTTATTCCGGGAGTCCCAAGTCAGGGCCATCCAAATCACGTACAGTAGCATCCAGCGGATCGATGCCGGATGCTTCCGGGGCTTGGAAAACTCCTTGGAGAAACTCTCCGTCATCAACAGCAATCTCACGGCGATTCCCATCGACGCTTTCAAGAGACTTCATGCACTCAAATCCCTCTCGATCGAATCTAGTCAAGTGAAGAACTTGGAATCCCATGCTTTCCGGGAGCTGCCTCTACGAACTCTGAGTCTGAAGGGCAACGAAATCAAGGACATCTCGGAGACGGCCTTCCTCGGTTTGGACGAGACGTTATCGTCTCTGGACTTGAGTCACAATGCCCTCAAGAGTCTACCGCTTTCGGCTCTGGCGAATCTCAAATCCCTCTCCACGCTCGACGTCGCCGGGAATCAGATCCAAAGCCTGGAATACGAGGAAGACGCGGAATTGGAGGCGCTCACTCGCCTCGATGTCAGTTCCAATGAGATCAGAGAGTTGAAAAACACGTCCCTGCTTTTCGTCCCGAACGTGAGAAGCGTTTCCTTGGGTTTTAATCGACTGAAACAGGTGGACCCACTCGCCTTTTCTTTCTTACCGCATCTGGAGAACGTAGACTTGAGTCACAACAGTCTGCATGGGATCCATCGTCAAGGACTCTTCTCTAACAATCCCCGATTGGAGACCGTGGACATGAGCTACAACTTTCTCCATTCCGTCCCTCGGAATCTCTTCAGGGATCGCTTCGACCTCCGGGAGGTTTTCCTCTCTCACAACGACATCAAGGACTTGTCCGAGGGGACGTTTCGCAATGCATCGGGCGTGAGAGTATTGCATCTTCAGAACAATGCCATCGGAGCGATCCACGAACGCGCCTTGCAAGACCTCATCGCCCTGGATCAACTTTATCTCAGCTTCAACCAACTACAAAGCGTTCCTCGAAGTTTCTTGGGGAATAATCGGGAACTCACTTATCTCGGATTGGACCACAATCGGTTGAAATCCCTGGAACCGGGGATCTTCGACAACCTTTCGAAGTTGGTGGTTCTGAGACTCCAGAGCAACGAACTCGGAGAAATCCGGGAGCCCGTCTTTCGATATCTGACTCAATTGAAGGAACTCCATCTCCAGGACAACGAGATCGGATGGATCGAGGACGGCGCATTCCTCTCCATGGCCAATCTTCAGTTGCTGCATCTCCAGAATAACAGACTCAAGAGCATGGGGAACATCCTCAGGAATTCTCCGCCCACTCTCATTTCCCTTCAGTTGGACAATAACCAGATCCAAGAAATCCATCCCGGATTCATGGAAGGACAGGAAGAGTTGCGCATCGTCTCCTTGGAAAATAACTCCTTGCAAAAGCTTCCGGCACGACTCTTCAAGGGACTGAAGAAGCTGAAGAAACTGAATCTCCGGAACAATTCCATCGAGAGCATCGAAGAGGGATGCTTTCAGGATGCCCATCATTTGGAAGTACTGCAATTGTCCGGAAATCATTTGAAGGAGATACCCGAGCACGCATTCGAAGGTGGAAGAGTTTTGAAGGAACTCGACCTGAGAGGAAACCTCATCGGAGATATCAGTCCGGGGGCATTCAAATCCCTCAAGGGCTTGAAACGCCTCGATCTGAGTCGAAACAAACTTATCGGGATCCAGAAGGATGTGTTCTTGGAGGAATTGCCCCTTGAATCCCTGGATTTAAGCGAATGCCTCATCGAAGACGTTCAAGAGGGTTCCTTTCAACGGCTCCCCGTCTTGAAAGAGTTAAACCTGGCCGGAAACTTGATTCCTCATCTTTCCCTTTCCTTCCTGTGGATCCCCACGTTGACTTCCCTCGATGCGACGGGGAATCCGATCAGGAAGGTGGACGAAAACGTGTTCAGAGGAGTTCCCGAACTTCGTACCCTCAAGATGGGTTCGTGCGGATTGGAGAATTTCACGTCTTTCTTCTTCAAAGACTGCCTGGAACTCCGGGAACTCACATTGTCTCAGAATCCCCTGAAGGAAGTGAATTTCAAGGTCTTCTCCGTCATGCCGAATCTCAGGGAAATCGATCTGAGAGACTGTGAGCTCCGAGGAACATCCCTGGTGAGAACCGACGACATCTTATCCAAGCTCGAAGTCTTGGATCTCTCGTCGAACGCTCTCGAAGAATTGCCCGATCTCGTCTTGAAATCTTTTCCGAATCTAAGGAAGCTGAGCTTGGAGAACGCATCTTTGGTCTCCGTTCGAGGATCGGCTTTCGGGCACCTGGAACTCTTATCGGATCTGAGTCTGAAAGGGAACCATCTTCAGAGCCTGCCCGTGGAACTGCTCCAGAATCAGACGTCTCTGGAGAGACTGGATCTGAGCGGGAACGAATTGAAGGAAATGCCCCAGGTTCTGATCGAGCAGAAGCTGCCGAATCTCCGTCACGTGGTGCTGAGAGGAAACCCGATGGAACGGCTGTCGTCGCATGCGGTCTCGCCCAGAACGTCGGAGAGCACGCAGGAATTGGATTTGAGCAACGGGAGCCTCAAGAGCATCTCGGGGAAAGACTTCCACAGTTATCCCAATCTTCTCGTCTTGGATGTGAGTTACAACGCGATCGTGGAGATCGCGCCGAACGCCCTTCAGGACCTCGGCAAGCTTTCCGTCCTGAACCTCGGCTACAATGCTCTTTCCGAGATCCTCAAGACGTCTTTCCGCGGGCTCCGCATGCTCGGCACGCTCAATCTCACCCACAATCGAATCGAGAAGTTGGGGAAATTTCCTCCGGATCTGGAGAACTTGAAAATTTTGGACCTTTCCTCGAACCGGATCGCGGCGTTGGTGGGAGGGGAATTCCAGAAACTCGGAAGCCTGGAAACGTTGATCCTCGGTCACAATCCTCTGGTGGAGGCGAAAGACGACGCTTTCAAGGCGCTGCGATCCCTCAGGCATCTCGACCTCGGCCATAATCGTTTCGTCGACCTTTCCCCCGACTTATTCGCACCCGTGGAAGAGGGGCTCATCTCTCTCCGTCTCGAAGGTAAGATCGTTCGAGTGGTTCCACGCTTTCTCGCGAGATTCGAAAACGATGCGATGCGATTAGCTCTTTGTTTACAGGGAATCCCTTCAAATGCGAATGCAATCTACGGGAGCTGTGGGATTGGCTCCAACAGCACGGACGGTTCATCACGGAACAGTCATCGCAGAAGACCGTCTGTCACACTCCGCCCCAAGTTGCTGGACTCGAAATCCTGGATCCCCTTGGGATGCAACGAATCTGTTTCACCCCGTTCGTGACGTCGTTGCACGTGGAAGACTTGCGGCCCACGTCCTTGACCCTGTCGTGGGAGACGCACAACGGAATGAACCCCGGCTCGGGGTTCTACGTCTCGTATCACCCGCTGGACTTCGACGCGAAGGTCCTTCAAGTCCACATGCCTCCGACGACCCGAAATCGGCAACTCAGAGACCTTCGACCCAGGACTTCTTATCTCCTCTGTGTGATAGCCATGGATTCGTCGGACAGTGACGTCACGATGGACGTGGACGAATCCAACGCTCAGACTCGGTGCCGGGAAGTGGAAACGCCCGAAGAAGAATTCGAAGACGGGCTCTCGGGCAGTCCTCACGTCCTCGTGTCCAACTTCGGCCTCATCTTGGGCTGCGGACTGGCGATCGGCATGATCTGCCTCCTCGTCCTCCTCGCCATCATCATGGTGAAGCGGAAAAAAAGACGAGGTGGTCAAGCGGGGACGAAGAGGGATTTCTCTCCTCCTCCTCCGCCTCCACCCCCTTCTTCCGCGGAATATCTCTCCTATCGACATTTCTCGCTGAACACGAACGAGTCCGGGACCGGAACGAGGACCTACACGAACAGCCATTATTGATGAGGAACGACCGATGAGTCCTCGCGTGTGCAATCTTTTCTTTCTTCCTGTCTTCACCAAATGTCTCATAAAACCAAGGATGCGAGAATGAAACCTTTTACCTCCTTCGTTTGCTCGCAGAGAACGAGAAATTAAAAAAAAAACGATAAAAAGACCAACGGATGGACGGGTCGCGCGATTCAGAGCGACGATGGAAATTCGATTTCCTTCACTGAGATGGGGGGAAAACCCTGAAAATGTGAAAAGCGTTTATATAGATGGACTCGAGCGCCACTGTTAGCAGGCTATATATATCTATATATAGCTGCGTATAACTAGTTCCTGCGTTTCTCGGACGTAGCAAGAAAGAGGAACCCCGGAAAAGCGTAATAAACGTTCCCGCATTTCATTTCCTGAGAGTGTTCTTCACTTCTGGAGCAGTTCTGGAGTTCGGAGATGAAGGTCGAAAGTTCCATCAGTAGATCATCGGTTTCCTTGGCTTGGGAGCTATAGAATCCTGCTTCTTCCTGCAGGTCATGGTCAAAGCTTCTCCCCCCCCCACACACACACACGCGCGTCCAAACCATTCATGGAGTTACTCTTTGAAAATTCCAGGGAGCACTGAATGCTCTTTTTTATTCTCCTGAAGATATCGATCACGCTTGTTTTTTCCTTTACCGATCCACGCCGAGGTCGGGTTGACCGTAGACCGTTCTCCCTAGAAACATCGAAAGAAAACATCATCTAAACACTTCTCGAGCAAAACCAGCGATGAAACGTTTTCACTTTCTTCAACCCGATAGTTTCAGGAGGGGGGGGGGAGCGAAAAACGAAAGCTTTCTTAGGGATGTAAACGCCTCACGGAGAACTTCATCTCTCCATTTGTTTCTTGCCACACGCGGCTCGATGCCAACTTCGACTTGCTACAGTTAGCGCTCGATTCGATCGCGATTTTCATGCAGTACACACATTCCAGGGCTTCGCTTATTTCCGGCGAGAAATTCCCTACTTTCGTTTTCATTCATCGTTATAGTTCATACTCTATTGAGGCTCCCCTCGGGATCCAAAACCTTTCAGTAGAATAATGAACAGAATATCACCGAGGTCATTTCCAATCCTGTGTCTAGCTGCTCGAGGGAGTCTTTAAGTTAATCACATTTTTCTAATCATGAGCGCCTGCTGCTGTAAAGTATCGGGGACTCGGGCCTTCGTGTCTGATGCTCCAATTCTTTGCTATAATCATGGATCACAAATCCACACAATGGAAGAAATAATGAGGTGACGGCGAGCTGCAGAGACAGTTTTCATTATTCACGGATATTTCAGAATACGTTTTAATGTGATATACTGTTTTGATACATTTTTCATTCTTATTTATTTTCAGTTTGTGGATATATTTATTCAGTTTAATTAATATGCGGTTTTTCATCACCTAATTTTATTCCGAGAAACTACTTTAGGATTTTTAAATTGTTGACTCTTTTTATCAGCTTCATTTAAAGGCAATTGGAAAAGATTGAGGATGAAGAAGAAAAAAGTATAAAACATAGAATGTGAAACAAAAAACGGGAAATGAAAAATTATAAGGAAGGGTGTAGTGACTTTTCTTTTCCTAACTGAAATCAATTTTTAGCCCTTTTATTTTAAAAGCAACAATCGTTTTGCTCTCTTTTTTATTTTCTTAAATATTTTTTAGCTCTGTATTATTTCATAACATTGAAAACCGTTTCCAAAGCTATTATTTTTAGGGTTCAGTACATCGAGAATACGATGGGAAACGACTAGGGAGGCTCGAGACTCAGGGGCCTCTGACTCAGAGTCAAATGTCTCAGGGTCTAGAATTGGAAGGCGCTTGTGCTTTGACCATCACCATCGAGAATACCTTTGATCTCGACGCTCGTATGAAATAGAAAACGCACATGGAACGGTGGGAACAGACGATGACTGTGTGCGAATGACCACGTGCCCGAACAGACGGAGGCCAGCGGTGATTTTGACAGGCCATCCACGTCGCTTCCCCTCGCTCCCTCAACTCCTCTCTACACGTCGCTATTCCTCGCTTCCACAACTCCGCTCTCACCTTCCACCCCATCAAATCGTATGCATTCACCCTCCAAGATGCCACCGACGCGTTAACGCACCAGAGAAAGAAATCCCCTCACTGCTATTCACGCGATTACGCATTTTTAATTTTCTGTCACTTTCCGTCATTTTCTGCTCCGTCGTGCACACGCGATCGATACGAGACTCTGAATGAATTCTGTCATCATTCGAGAGTTTTGAGTCATTTCAAACTGCCTGGAGGAAAAAAACTCAGCACGTGGGCTCAAACCACCCGTATTAGACTCGGTAGTTCAAGGGTTAACGATGCGGTGACTGTATTCCGTTCGAACGGTCTTCGCTTCTCTTGCACACGTGGAAGTCGTCCGGTACATCATATTACTTACTTTACGTTTCCCCGTCTGGGATTGCGACTTCCTCGAGCGACCCAGGCGGATCGACGAGGTCACGGTATCGACGAATCCAGTCCGACGTCGGTTTCCTTCTCGGGGCTGATGGGAGGTCACAGAGGACAATAGAGCCGATTGGCCGATGGAGGTCATCGGGGACATGGACCCAATAGGCCGATGGAGGTCAGGGAGAACATCGAGACTCGGTGCATTCCGTCTCGGACTCTCTTACCGTTCCTCGCAGTCGTGGAGTCTCCGGTGGCGACTCCGTGCTTCTTCTGCCGTTTGGGACTCTCCCGCGGTTCCCGTTCCGTCCCGGTATCATCGATCGAGATGGAAGTGCGATCCCCGTGAATCGTGAGCTGACTTTTTTCCAACTCGTGCAGCGACCTCGGGAGAAAGGAAGGCGAACTAACCGCTTCCCTCCGCGAAGAGAAAGAGTGCGTCTGTCTTCTCGTTTCCATCACGCATCGTGGTAAAAACGTTCCGATTCGAAAGGAAAAGAATTAATAGAATCGGATCGGAAAGAATAGGGGAAAAAAATTATAACATACTGCGATTACCGATGAAAAGGTACCAAAAAGACGAGAACGTGAATCCCCGATTTAACACAGCGGTTCTCGACCTCTTTTCGTCCACGGCACCCTTTTTGGGTTCGGAGAAATTCGCTGCACCCCTGCACGATCCCATGGACCGCCAGAACCAATAATACAGGGGTAAATAAATATTACTGTGCTGGTCGTCTAATGGGCGGAAATGGGTGCGCGTACGAAGTGACAGCCTCCGTAATTTTCGGCCTCTTTTAATTAAAGTATTAGATTAGGGTCAGGACTCATTCACGAAAATATTTCTGCTGCACCTTCACCATGAAGGTAATCACTCTCGAGCTTCTCTCTCTTTTTTTTTTCGCGAGTGCTTGCTTCTCGAACGTGGCCTCGATACACCGGGAACTATGAACTCTCGTGGCAAGACTTCATACACACTCCGGACGAGTCGTGCCGGCAATTTGCGACACAGAAGCCAAAGCAAAGATGGCTTACGTCACATCTCCGCAATCCGACTTTCCTCTCGGCTTGCATCTCTAATGTACGCGTTTTACGTATATTTTACGCGACCGTTTTGCGCCGAGTTATTGCTTGGACGAGCAATAAACTTTTCCACGCTGGATTGCAATGTAAAAACTCTGAAAACGCCGGAGAGAAATACGAGCCATCTGGTTTTAAAACCACCTTATAATTTGAAGACCGTAAAACACGGTTCGAGTGACCGGGAACTGGAAAGAGTGCAGAAAGCACTTTTTATTTTAATGACAAATAAAAATTCTCAGTAGATCCGAAGGCTTCACGAAATGAAATCTAAACGATGCGTGCGATCGGAAGAGACGAGACCGAATACGCGCGATGTGGCGACTCTTGGTTTCCTCGCGGCTGACTCTCCGACGACAGAGACCGACTAAAAAAGGATTTAGAACGGTAATAGGCATCGGTGAATCGTCCATTCCGATTCCAGAGAAGCAGCTTTCCAGGAATCCTTGGGGGAAATTCATGGCTTAGGCTTAGGGGAATCGTTGTCTCCGAGTCCTATTTAGGTGAAATGCTCCTAGGATCCCCACGGACCCCCCCCCCCCCCCCTCCCCCCTGCCCTGCCAGCCTCTCGCGGCACACGGCTCATCTGACGTTATCCTAGACTTGCGTGGACGAACGGAATGTGGAGACGTTAAGTGTCCTCACTCGGATCGGGATGAAGAGGAAAATGGAGAGAGAAGGGAAGGACATTTCAAATGGTGCTCATTTTTTATTCGTAGATTACTATCATACTTCGATATCGAGCAATACGAGAAAAAGGGAGAATCGAGAAGAACCGATCATTCGTTTTATGTGTATACCGTGGCCGAGGAAATTCGAGAAAATATTGGGGAATTCGTCGGCTCGAACCCAAACGCGATCGGATCGGAAAGCCTCGAAGAAATTCGTAGAGAATCTCGAACTCCGACCGTCTCTCTGGGTTTCTCAATCAAATGGTAATCGAGTGCGGAGACTTTGGACGATAAAATTCCATTCCGATCCGTGAATTTCATAACCGGAACGTGTCGGACCGTTAAGCGATTTTCACTTGGCTCCCGTCCAGTGTCGTCTCGAGGTCGGGAACGAGGAGAAATCTCTCGCCGAATAATTTGCCGGCTGCTTTAGAATGCATGATCCCGCTCCCGATCGAGACCGTGATCGTGATCGTGATCCCGCTCGTCGGCGGATGCAGATGAGACCATTTCGAGCGGGATGGAAATCGTTCTGCCGGAAAATGTATCGCCGATTCGCCGCCACCATCGGCCTTTTTTTTTTTACCATATCGAAGGGGAGACATTCACGATGAGAAAACGCATTCATTGAAGAGCTTGAATTTAAAAAATGATGCGTGGTACCATTTGCAATCTGCGATGTCGGTCACGCGTTTTCGACCACTGAAGAACTTAGGAACTCGAGAGCCTTTCATATCGCCATTCGGTTCGCTCGAACCGACGACAAACCGGGCGACGAAGCGAGAAAGGTCTCTCCACGGTGCCTCATTCAGAAAACGTCTTAACCCAGAAAAAATAAATAAAACCGTCGGATTTGGCACGTGTACGTGCCACTCGACTTAAGAGGTTAAGGGATGGGGGGGGGGGGAGATGCTCCGTGATGTATGGAGCATGGGTTAACAGTGACAACATGAGCCAAACAGCGATCTGAATTTCATAATTTAGGCATTCCCATGAGTGCCTAAC